CCCAAAAAAAAAAAAAATCTATGTAGAATCATTTTTAAGTGTGTCAACAGGTACCAATGAGATACTTGATTAGATTGCTTTTTGTTTTTCACTAGGAACCTAAGGCAGATCGCGAGAACCAGGCACTTAAGATGCGACTTCTATGCAGACTCTGTAATAACTACGGTTAGAGATTACTAATTTACCAATCCATTTGTGTTATATAGTTTACAGGAGTTCCAAAGAATAATTGTCTTGAAAAAATGGAATATGTTTCTGGAAGAAGTTAAAATGCAGAAATCGCAGTTTATATGAGAAGGGGATTGCACATGTTTTCGAATTCTTTACCAGAAACTATCTGCCTAAAGTTAAAATGCAAAAAAACTTGGCATCTGGTAAAAAATATGAAGTCAATTTTTGGAATCCCCCATATTTAGTATTTATGGTTTTGTTTTTCTTTTGCGTGTGTGCGTGTATGTGTGTTAGAGAGAAAGAGAGAGAGAGAGAGTTAAAGCGATATGATTTGTAGTAACAAGGAGGCCAAGCTAAAAAGAAGAATAGGCACATTGCACCTGAGGGGAAAAAAACTATTGTCTGGAGTGCAAGAAAATAATGATTAGGGAGACTAGTGAAGAAGGACATAACTTATTTGCTGAGTCTTTTTTGGTTGAACATAGAACATTGGAATCTGAATGCCATAAAATTAACTGAAGATTTATGGCATTTTTTTAGCTACTTCAGACCAGATTATTCCATTGAAAAGAAGGTATTGCACCGTCTGGAAGATTGACCATTACAATGCAATTTCATGTTACTCGAGGCATCAAACTTGTCTTCTACATACAAACTAAATAATTATGCCTCCTCTATTAGATCTCTATCTCTACAATCGTGCCCTATGCTGTCTCTGATGAGTAGCGGCTCAGCATCTTTACAGGAGATCCCACTTATCAGACGGCCTTCAATCAATCTCCTCATCGCTTGATCACTCAGTTTTGCCCTTTCATCGATGTGATGAGAGCAAAATGTATGTACCAGATCATGTACAAAATCTGCAGGTATCCTGCCTTTACAGTTAGAGATGTCAATTGTGAATAACCCTCTTTACTATCTGCTACACCTTGCCTCCATCAGATGAATTAGGAAGCTTTCTCTGGGCTTCAATATCTGTAGATGCAGTAGCTACAGAATTTGATCCTCTCGAGGGAGCTGAAGAAGGAGATGGAAGCCTTTTAGGCAGCATCTGTTTCCACATATCCTTTGGAAATCTTGATGCCTCTGATGAGATGAGAATCAAAGCAAGAAGAAGACTGAAGAGCATGAACTTATGCCTCCTACAAGAACCTGACATGATGAATACTTCAAGAAGAACTACAGAGCCTCTTTTAAGTATCCCAACATATAGCTTTTAAGATAGTTATTGAAGCAGACAGAGTTGAGCACTGTGTGAAGGCTGCCAACTTTCTTTGTTTGAGTAAAGGTGAGTCAATGGCAGACAGTTTGACATTTTATAATCCTAAACTGTTAGCAGTATATGCTTCTGTTGTTGGAATCAAATACAAGAGAAGACTAGCAATGTTTGAAAGTTAAGTAAGTTATGAAAAGATGTTATTTCTATTACATTGTATCCCACAGCAGTTGGGTTAATCTTAAAAAACAGGGGACAAATCCTTGCTGTCAGGCTTGATAAAGTAAGAGAATCAGTAATATTGGTCTGTTAAGGTCCTATAATATTCAAATGAACTGTTCTTTGCCCATTTTATGCAAATGCATGCTAAAACAATATTCCAGTATAAGTATGTGCTTAGCAATAAAATATGTATCCACTTCCAACTATGATTGTTTGAGCAGTTAAGTTGTAACTATAATGTATATTTTAAAGTACAAAAAAAAAAGAGAATAATGCTGTTGCGTGCAGAAATAAGATGCATCTAATGAATATACGACTTTTTCTTGAAAACTAGGACCTCAACCAACTGTTTCAACCCACAACCCAAAAAAAAAAAAAAAAAGGTCAACTGTCTAATATGAGTTTTGAGAGCCCATACATGATACATTTGTTTTACAACAAAATGTATTTACCACTATGTCATTTTTTAAGCTTGTACTATAAAACTATGCCAGACCATATATTATGTGTTACCCTTTAAAACCATGCCAACCAAATACTACTTGTTTTGATTCTTGAATTGCAATCATGGCAACACGAGGGGAGTAGCTTTTGATTAATTTTAAGTTGGTGAGAAGCCAGACAAGGTGCATTAGAAAAGGTAAAAGGGTTTTGGAAGAAGTCCAAAAGGCAGCATATTGCAACTGTTCTGCACTTTTTGTCCAACCGGGAGAATTGTAAAATGAACACCAAAGATAATAATGAGTATCAGAAGCATAGCATAGTTTTTACAATCATTCTTACAGAAAATACGGTCTTCGACAGTGCTGCGGGCCCAGATGGATTCACTGGAAAATTTTTTACTTTTGCATGGGAAGTGGTTGCCCAGGATGTCTATAATGCAATACTCAGCTTTTTCTGTGGGGATGAGTTACCTCGATTCATCACCTCTACCTCTATTGTGCTAATTCCTAAAATATCAAATCCTCAGGAATTTTCACAATTTAGGCCAATCAGTCCGTGCAATTTCTTTAACAAGTTGATATCACGGATCTTAGCAGACAGAGTGGCATATGTTTTGCCAAAAATTATTTCCCCCCAGCAGACAGGCTTTGTAAAGGGTCGTAATATATCAGAAAACTTTCTGCTAGCTCAGGAGATAATATCGGGTATTGGAAAAAAGAAAAGAGGTGGTAATGTGGTATTGAAGCTAGACATGTCCAAGGCATATGATCGAGTGGCATGGGATCATATTATTGGTATTCTGAGGAGATTTGGCTTCGAGGAAAGATTCATTGATCTTGTTTGGAGATTGATATCTAATGTCTGGTTTTCGGTAATTATAAATGGGTCATCATATGGTTTCTTTAAGTCGTCAAATGGACTTCGTCAGGGTGACCCATTATCGCCTGCTTTACTCATTATAGGGGCTGAGGTTTTATCTAGATGTTTAAATAACCTCGTCATGCAATCGGGTTTTATGGGTTTTAAAATTCTAGACGCATGTCCTTCTATAACACATTTGGCATTTGCGGACGATGTCCTTATATTTGCAAATGGATCTTCACACTCTTTAAAGACAATCATGCAGGTGATACAGTTGTATCAAAGGTGTTCGGGACAAATGATAAATGTGCAAAAAAGCTGTTATTTGGTTCATCCATCATTGTCACCGGCGAGACGAAGGGTTATTGAACACATCACTGGTTTTACCTGGCATTCTTTTCCAATACGTTATCTAGGATTCCCACTTTACTTCGGAAGATGTAAATCATCATATTTTGGGGAAGTGTGCCAGTCTATTCTAGGGAGGATTATGTCATGGAAGTCAAGGATGCTATCATTTGGAGGCAAGATAGTTCTAATCAAACATGTTTTAGCATCGATGCCAGTGCATCTGCTATCAGCGTCGATTATCCCGGCAAAGGTATTTAAAACTATAGAAAATGCCTTCTCAAATTTTCTATGGAGATCATCACCCGAGGATACCAAGTATCACTGGATACGTTGGTCTCAAATGTGCTATCTAATAGAGGAAGGAGGAGTCGGATTTCGAAGGTTAAAGGATGTCTATTTAGCCTTTTCATTCAAGTTGTGGTGGAACTTCAGAAAGGGATCGTCCTTATAGGCTAAGTTTATCAAAGCAAAATATTGTACACGACTACACCCCTGTCAGGTAGAAATCAGATCAATGGACTCTGCACTCTGGAGAAGGATGGTCAATGTGAACCGACAAGTGGAACTTTCTATGTTATGGGTTGCTAAAGACGGAGCATGTCATTTTTGGTATGACAACTGGTTGGGAGGTGGTGCGCTGTTTTTACGAGCTACGGTATTCCCAAACTTGTCGTTTGGCAATTTCATAACTAATGGGCAATGGGATGCGAATCGGTTATATCAGTATCTGCTATATGAAATGGTTAACTCCATTTTGAACCACCCACTACCGGAAGAGAGCGGCGAGGCTGAAGTCATATGGATGCCCACAAATTCTGGAAATTTCACTGTATCTTCAGCTTTTCGGGAAATTAGGCAAGCCCGAAACACATCAATGGTTTTTGATAGAATCTGGCATCCTCGTCTTCCTTTGAAGACCTCATTCTTCATGTTGCGATTGTTGCTGGGTAGGTTGCCGATACCGGATAGGTTACGAAATTTTGGTTTTCATTTACCCTCAAAGTGTTTTTGCTGCCAATCGGCATTTGAAGAGTCAACCGAACATTTATTCTCCAATGGCATTATAGCATTAACAGTTTGGAATTATTTTGGGGATTCATGTGGACTCCAAGTATCAAGGTCATATTTGAGATCTCGCATAGTGGGTTGGTGGTTGAAATCATATGATTATGATATAAGACGGATTATTGGACGGCTACTTCCTTCTGTAGTATGTTGGCAAATTTGGAAGGCAAGAAATAAAGCAATGTTTGAGGATGTCCAGATGCGGTCGAATGTCATTTGTCAAGCCATTTTCTCGGAAATCCGACCCATTGTGGAGATATATTTCAAAAAAATGGGACGAGTACAGTCATTTTATCATTTGTATGATTGGTCGAACTCATCTGATGTTGGCATCACATACAAACTTATTCGATGGGAAACGAAGGAATCTGGACGGTTCACACTTAATACAGACGGATGTTCTAAGGGTAATCTAGGAGTGGGTGGAGGCGGTGGAGTTCTTCGGGATTCAAATGGCCTTCCTTTGATTGGTTTTTCGGCACATTTTGGGGAAACTACATGTCTTCGTGCAGAGGCTCGTGCCCTCTTTATTGGTCTTCAAACATGTGCATAGAGGTGCTTTCGGAATATCTATGTGCAATCGGATTCTTTGGTATTAATTGGAATTCTTCAGCATCGCATTCAATGTCCCTGGCACATCCGACGGATTATCAGGCAGATTTGGCAGTTTATGGAAGATCCAGATCGTTTTTCACATTGTTACAGGGAAGCGAATAAGGTGGCTGATGTGTTATCCAATGTGGGCGTATCTCATCCAGACCAGCAAATCAAGATATACGAGACATTAAACACGTTTCCAACAATGGCTCGTGCAGCAATTCGCCTTGATAGGCTAGGAATGCCTTCAATTTGGAAAATTAGGTCTATGTAACATTTTACTCTTGTCTTACTTCTAATAAAAATAAATATATTTCAAAAAAAAAGTGATGTATTAGAATAAAAAGACCCAATTCATAATTGTTAATGGGCTAAAACAAAAATAATTATTTTATTGGCCCATATACAACTATATAACTTAGCCCAATGGATAAAAGATTTAAAAAAAAATTATTTTATCTTTAGCATTCTAAGAAAAACTTACAAAGGAAGCTACTTGCCCACTTTTCTGATATGCGAATCAAAAAAGAAAGTGTGGGTGACTTTTCATTTCTTTCTTTCTTTCACGGTGGCACTTGATTGTTGGTAGACAAAACTCAAAAATAAAGTGAAAAGAACAAGAAGACAGGAGAACTGGAGTCTGGAGAAGAATACAACAAAGATTCAAAGAAAATTCATCAAGATTCAAGGGTGTCGGGTGATTCACACCCTGATTGGTTTGGACCGTTTGGTGGCTTCCGTGAATCCGTGGTTTGGTCACTTGGTGCTAGAAAGTAGAATCCAATAACTTAAAGTGAAGTGGCTCCATTCTCTAGTGCATGTACTAAACCTTTTCCTTTTATAATTAATTTATTATGAAATTTAATCTTTTCCTCTTTCCAATTATCTTATGCTCCTGCAAAATACATTTCTAGTATCAAAATTGTGATATTATACTATATTGGTAGTATATTTTTCTTAAGAAAAATAATTTGACATGTATAAAGTATTTTATTGTTTAATAAGTGTGTATCATTTAAAATTGTGGTTCCATACTCTATTTGTGGTTCAAAAAAATACTAATATAATGCATATATAATATTAATTTGGCATACGTATAATTTATTATGATAATTTGCTAGAGTTGTATATAACTTTTGAAGTGTGAATTAAATTCAGGTTTGAAATTTATTCTCCATGGTTAAGTCAACAACAATTGATGCATTTTTTAAAAGAAAAATTATTGAAGACCAAAAGCACAAGGAGAGTGATGCTACTCCATCATCTATTCTTAGTGAGAGTTTGGTTGTTGAACCTCCTGAAAAAATTCAAAGAGTTGAACTTGAAAAGATTGATATTGCTTCTTTGGAGCATGATCTCGGAAAACGTCCACCTATATAGAGCTATCCTCTTAATCAACAAGATGAAATTCGTCGAGCTTATATCAATTGGGGGGCCATATCAAGTTAAGCTTGAAAATTACCCTTCAAGTGGTTCAAAGAAACATGTTCGTCATTTTTGTAGCTCTTGGTTTGAATTGTTTCCATCTTGGCTTGAATATTCTCCACCAATTGATGCTACTTTTTGTCTTTCATGCTATCTATTTAGTAAGCTGAATGGACGAGTTGAATTAAGTGCATTTGTTCTTGATGGCTTTAAGAATTGGAAAAAGGTCACTAATGGAGATAATTGTGCTTTCTTACGACATGTGGGGAAAAATCCTAACTTATTTCACAGAATTGCTGTAAAAGCCTGCAATGATTTGATGAATGCTTCTCAACACATTGGAACTTTCATTGAGAAACAAAGTTTTGAGCAAGTTGAGATTAATCGATTAAGGCTTCAAGTTTCAATTGATGTAGTTCGATGGCTTGTATTTCAAGGTTGTGCCTTTCGAGGATGAGATGAGAGTGAAAAATCTCTTAATCGTGGAAACTTTCATCAACTTATTAAGTTGTTGGCTTCTTATAATGATAAGGTAAGAATGATTTTCTTCCAACTTTGCATTCTTTCTTGAATTTATATAATATCCATGCTTGAAAGAAATCTTTTTAATTCATAATATGCTTCCATTTAGTTATTATCTTTATAAAATTATAATTATGCTCTATTAATGGATAGGTTGCAAGTGTTGTTCAAGAAAATGCTCCATCCAATGCCTCCTATACATCTCCTGAAATTCAAAAGGAGATTCTTTATATATTTTCCAATAAGGTTAGAAAAGAAATTTGCCAAGAGATTGGAAATTCAAAATTTTGCATTATAGTTGATGAAGCTCGTGATGAGTCCAAAAGAGAGCAAATGGCTCTTGTTTTGAGATATGTAGATAAGGAAGGATGCATTCGTGAACGATTTTTTGGTGTTATTCATGTCCGTGATACTATGGCTTTAACTTTGAAGGAAGCTATTTTTTCTACTCTCTCTCAACATAATTTGGTCATTCATAACATCCGTGGACAAGGGTATGATGGAGCTAGTAATATGATAGGTGAATGGAATGGCTTGCAAGCTTTAATTTACCATGAATGTCCATATGCCTATTACATTCATTGTTTGGCCCATAGGTTTCAACTTGCTTTAGTTGCAACTTCTAGAGAAGTAGCTTCTGTTCACCAATTCTTCTCCAATTTAGTTTTCATTATCAACATTGTTACTGCATCTAGCAAACGTAATGATGAATTAAAGGAGGCTCAAGCAATTGAAATTGCTACTAAGATTGCTAATGGTGAACTTGAAACTGGAAAGGGGCTTAATCAAATTGGCACTTTAAAACAAACTGGAGATACTCATTGGGGTTCTCATTTGGATTCTATTTCTAGTTTACTAAAAATGTTCAATGCTACTTGTGTGGTTTTAAGTAACATTGCAGCAGATGGAGGTTCATACTCTCAACGTGGAGATGCTAATTTTGCTTTAAATCAGTTGTTATCCTTTGGATTTGTTTTCACATTGCATCTTATGAAAGACATTATGGAAATCACTCAGCATCTTTGTATGGCATTGCAACGTAAATCTCAAGATATTTTGAATGCAATGCATCTTGTCTCAAGCACAACAAAGCTACTAAAGAATTTTCTAGATTCGGGATAGGATGATTTCTTGATGAAAGTTAAATTATTTTGTGAGCAACATCAAATTGATATCCCAGATATGAATGCTCAATATATTGCAAGACGTGGTAGATCTCGTAGTCATCATGATGAGATTAGTGTGGAGCATTATTATCGAGTGGATATATTTCTTGCAACAATTGATTATCAATTGCAAGAGTTACATAGCAGGTTTAATGATCATACCGTGGAATTGCTTGTTTTGAGCACTGCTTTAGATCCTAGAAATGGATTTATGCTGTTCAAGATTGATGATATTTGTAAACTTGCAAAGAAGTTCTATCCGAATGATTTTATGGAGCAAGAACTAGTACGTCTAAGAATAAAACTTCAACATTTTGAGTTTGACATTCCAAAGCATCCTGAATAGCAAGAATTATCTGGTATTCATGAGTTATGTCAAGGCTTGGTGAAGACAAGAAAATCAGTGATGTATCCTCTTATTGATAGATTAATTAGACTTGTTCTTACTCTTCCTGTACCAACTGCAACTACAGAGCGGACATTTTCAATTATGAAAATAATCAAGACAAAGCTCAGAAATAAGATGGAAGATAATTTCTTGAATGATTGTTTAACTGTGTATATAGAAAAGGAAATTGCTGAAAAATTTAGTAGTGATTCAATCATAGATGAATTTAGTTCTATGAAAGAACGTAGAGCTCAATTTACTTCTAAGAAAAGATGTTGAAATTTCAAAGTATGTTAATATAATTTTTATTTTTTTTTAATGAAAAATAGTTACATTTATATTACATGGTTATATATATATCTATTGCATAGGTGACATATTGGAGAGTATTTTCTCATGATGTGCAAATTGGATGATTTGTAATGTTATAAGATATTAATCAAATGTTATCTTTTTTGTTAATTTTTGTTATGATTGTACCACATATTTATGAATAAACATATCTTTATAATTAAATTTAATATTTGATATTATTAGATGTCATATATTTAAATAGAAGAAAATTATTTTGAACATAATATATTAAAATAATTTTATTGGAAAAAATTTTGGCCCAAAAAAAAAATCCTGGCTCCATCACTACAAGGTCAGTTGCTGTTTCAACAGCCTTTGTGCTCTGCACTAGTGATCCGATGAAGGCCATTGAATTCCTCTGCCAAAATTTCAAGCACAGACAAAATATTTTGGCTATAGAATGCGTTCCATTTAATCTTTGAATAGTAAATATCATTTGAAAGATAATAAAGCAAACATGTTGAGGAAGACAAAGAAAGGTAATGGATTTAAGCGCTGTTTCCTGAGTCGATGATGACATTAACTCATGCAGTTTTCCATCAAATCTACAGAAAAGGCATTCCCTTTGATATAGTACAGGAGAGCATCAAAAGACCCCAAAACAAATAAAAGCATATATCCTCTTTCATTCCTTTTTAGTTGGCATCAAATTTACTGTTACAAAAGAGAACCATATCTTACAAAGTTTTGAGAATTTCTTACATTTTGACGAATGTACAATTCAACAAATTCACGAGATGACCGTTTTAAAGCATAATCCAACGGAGTATTTTCTTCCTGTTCTTCGCCAAAATGGTCTACCATCCCGTAATAAATATTTAATTTTGCCAAATCCATACCCTTTGTTTTGTCGGATTCAAGGAACGCCCTAGCACAACCTATGGAATTATGTGCATGAACATAGTAAAAGATTGTCCTGACCGATATTTGCCGAATTTCAGTCATAGCTGATTTCTGTGTAATTTAAAATAGACGACTTCTTTAATAAACACGAGAATTTTTGTTTGTCATCTTTGGATATGGCTTCGTACCACAATACATACATGTAGGTCATTGGAAAATGTAATGGCTGAGCTAGAGCCAAGTTAGCTGACGTCAGGAAGTTAGTTAGGAGGGAATATTCCAAATAACGAATTGCATGTGTTGGTTATTTCATCTTGCATGTGGTCATTTCATATTGCATGAGTTAGTTATCTCATATTGTTAGAATACCAGAAACTAGTATAAAGCAGTGGAGGAGGAGAAGAAATGTAGATTTTGGACGTGAACATTTCTTCCTTCATCTATAATATCTTAGTCTTCCTTCTGCTCTTTTTCTCCTCTCCTTCTTCCCTATCTACATTTCTCTCTTTTTCTCTTTTGAATTCATTCCTTCTTGTATAAGACCAGTACAATTGGTATTAGAGCTTGCGGTTCTTGGATTTGCGAGCTCGACTACTGAATCTGTACCTGACCATGGCGAAAGGCACCCGAATGAAAGGCTTTGAAGAACAGTTGAAGAAGCAGGATTCACGAATTCATAGTATCATTGAAGATAATGCAGTAGAAAGACTAGCATTGGAGGAGAAATTGGCGACAAATTACTCTGATATGAAGGCGCTCTTAGAAGCAAACTCAACTGAGATGAAACATTTCATGGTTTCAATGAATGCTCAATACACTACTTTTGTGAGGAGCTTGCAAGGTGACAGAGGGATATTGGGAACTTCACCAGACAGCACAGAGAGACATCCTGTCCAAAGGCTTCAAAGAAATTTGGAGTTGGGACAGTCCAGTCAAGGAGAAAGGAATTATCTACCTGTAGGGACTCCTAAGATGGAATTTCCCAATTTTGATGGTTCTAACCCCAGGAAGTGGGTTAGGAAATGTGAGAAGTTTTTCCGTTTATGTCGCATTCCAGACTCTCAGCAAATGGATTTAGTGGAATTGCATTTGGATGAGAAAGCTAGTATCTGGTATCAAGGCTTCAAGATGGATAAGGGTGAGTTACGATGGGACAGATTCAACCAAGAGCTTTGCAATAGATTTGGAAATTTGGGGGAGAACGATGTCATAGAGGAGTTTAACAAGCTTCATCAAACTTCCACAGCAAATGGATTTAGTGGAATTGCATTTGAATAGAAAAGCTAGTATCTGGTATCAAGGCTTCAAGATGGATAAGGGTGAGTTATGATGGGACAGATTTAGCCAAGATCTTTGCAATGATTTGAAAATTTGGGGGAGAACGATGTCATAGAGGAGTTTAACAAGTTTCATCAAACTTTCACAGTGTTGGCCTACCAAGAAAGGTTTGAGGAGTTGCGAGCTGCTGTGATGCTCAAGGTTCCTGGTCTCACTAAATCTTATTACATTTCCAGTTTCCTGAGTGGACTAAAGGAGGAGATTAAGTCTGTGGTAAACATCCATAAACCTACCACCCTGCAATTGGCATTTGAGAAGGCGAGATGGCAGGAACATTATTTGCAGGTTATGTCTAAGCAACACAGGATGGCCACAAAACCAACTCCAATTACAGATACAATACAGAAGAAGCCTGCACATCAGGCGTTTGACAGTAGTAACAATAAAACTGCCCCCAAGGCTCCAAGAGGATTACCCCCACTGAGTTCCAGGATATGAAGGATCACAATTTATGTTACAAATGTGGAGACAAGTTTTCTCCTGGGCATGTTTGCAGGAATAAGGGAATTCATTTGCTGCTAGCAGATGAAAGCAAGGCACAAGTAGATGAAGTAGCGGATGAAGAGGATGAGGTCATTGAGTATCAAGGCAACAAATATGGCAGAGATGTTACACTATCCCTCCACTCAGTTTCAGGCCAATTGTCTTCCAGTACCATTAAGATACTGGGTATTATGGTGATCAAGAGGTGTCAATTCTATTGGATGGAGGCAGCACCAACTGTTTCATAAAGCCAACTATTGCTCAACTCTACCCTGAAGCTGTTAAGAGTCATAAACCTTTTAAAGTCAGGATTGCAAATGGGAAAGAATTAGTTTGTGAGCAATGGATTCCTAATATGAAGTGGATAATGCAGGGCCATCATTTTACCCACAATGTGTATGTGCTAGACTTGGAACCATACGATTTGATTTTGGGGATTGACTGGATGAAGTGTTACAGCCCTATGACTTTTGATTTTCAAAAGCTATCATTGTCATTTGAGAAAGAGGGTGAAATGGTGCTATTGCAAGGGGATTCCCACTCTGCTAAGGTATTGATGAAGCAAGGAGTATCTGGCCAGAAGTATTGCAGAAACAAAATCAGAACAGCTTTGCAACATTCTTGCATAATCAAAGTACAAAACTCACAGGTAACTACTGTGCCAAAAGCACTCACTCAATTACTTGCTCAATATGAAGACATATTTGCTGCACCTACAACTTTACCCACTAACCATAGCCTCAATTATTAGATACCTTTGAAACCTGATGCTAAACCCTTCAAGATTAGCCCATATAGGTATCCCCACAAGTAAAAAACAGAAATAGAAGGCAAGTCAAAGAAATGTTGGCCACTGGTATCATCCAAACCAGCCATAGCCCTTTTGCATCTCCAGCCTTGCTAGTTAAAAAGAAGAATGGTAGTTGGAGGTTATACATTGACTATAGACAACTTAACAGCCTCACCATCAAAGACAAGTTTCCCATTCCAATCATTGATAACCTACTTGATGAACTGCATGGTACAAAATTTTTTTCAAAGATTGACTTGAGGTCAGGGTATCATCAGATAAGAATGAAGCCACCTGATATCCAAAAAATAGCTTTCAGAACCCACTATGGCCTCTATGAATACTTAGTGATGCCATTTTGTCTCACTAATGCACCAGCAACCTTCCAGGCTTTAATGAACTCAGTGTTTGAACCTTTTATTAGAAAATTTGTAGTAGTATTCTTCGATGACATTCTAGCTTACAGTCCCAGATTTTGACTCCCATCTCAAACACCTATCCCTTGTTTTTTACACCCACAGAAACCACTCCTTATATGCAAAAATGTCTAAATGTTCATTTGGGCAAGATAGAGTAGAGTACTTGCGGCATATAATTACTGGTGAAGGAATCTCTGCTGATCCTGCAAAAGTGGAAGCCATGCTGTCCTGGCCTACCCCTACCACTGTTAAAGGTTTAAGAGAGTTTTTGGAACTGACAGGTTATTACAGGAGATTTGTGAAAGGATATGGGAAGATAGCTAAACCTTTAACTAATCTACTCAAGAAGGATGGCTTTGAGTGGGATGAGCAAGCTGAGAATGCTTTCCAGGAACTCAAACAAGCTATGACTTAAGCACCTGTGTTAGCACTACCTGACTTCTCAAGAACATTTGTGTTGGAAACTGATGCTAGCCAAAAGGCCATTGGAGCAGTTTTGATGCAGCAGGGTAGACCTATTGCCTTCATGAGTCAGGCACTTGGACCAAAGAATCAAGCACTGTCCATATATGAAAAGGAGTTATTGTCATTGATTACTGCAGTGGGGAAATGGAGACACTATTTGTTAGGAACTCACTTCATAATCAAAACTGATCATGAAAGTTTGAAGTACTTACTGGAATAGCCTCCAACAAAAATGGTTGGCCAAACTTATGAGATTGGACTATGAG